CCAGTCCCTACAGGTGACCCTGCTTGAACTTCCTACCTACAGACTCACCACTGCCATGGGTCCTATTAGTCTTATTTTTGGTCAAGTAGAATTTGCCAACCTATGACTCAACACTTAAGATATTAATAATAGTAACCACTTATGAGAATGTACATGTATAAGAAAGGGTGCTAAATGTTTCACATGTATTAACTCATTTGATTCTCACATAAGCTCTACAAGGCAGGCAGTTTGATAATACTAATTTTATAGATGAAGAAACTGAAACTTCGGGAAGCTACATAATGTCCAAGTCACCCTGCTAACCAGAAAAGCCTGGGTCTTTACCTGTTTCTGCCTGATCGTGGAGTTCATGCTCTGATCCCTCTCACTACTCGACATCTCCATAAGCATATCCCAGAACTTCAACTCAACAAGGAACTTCCCCTCCTTACCTAATATCCTCTCCTCCCTCTGCTCTCTCCCAGATAACATCACCTCCTCACACCTGCCACTTAATGCAGACACTTCGAGATCATTCTGCACCTCCCTCATCAAGGCAAATAGTCACTCCCTGTATCATTTGGATGAGATCTTCAATAGCTCTCAGATATTTTTTTTCTGCCCTTCATTTGATTTGTTCCAAGATTTTCACTAACCTCTACAAATAGTCTACCTTCCTGGTGTTTTCTCTTTTCAAGTCTAAACTCCAGTTTGCTGGTTCTATAATAGATTGTGCAGAAATACTTATGTAAGAGCACATCAAAGCTTAAAATGCTTCAACATGCATGAGCTATACATGATAAAACACTGGTTCCTTATTCCTTCTTCACAATGTAGCCTAAACTTCTTCAAAGGCATTTCTTACTAACCCCTGACCCCTTGTCCTTACCCCCCCAAAAAAACACCTATTCTCTTTTCCAAAGGTCATAAACTGGGGGCACACAAGAAAAACCCAATCCCAAAATGTGGTGTACTGTGTTGGTTCACTCAGTGTGTGTGTGTGTGTGTGTGTGTGGGGGAGGTGATATGTAAAATTAAAAACACTCTATTCTCTTTTCCAAAGGTCATAAACTGGGGGCCCACAAGAAAAATCCAATCCCAAAATGTGGTGTACTGTGTTGGTTCACTCAGTGTGTGTGTGTGTGTGTGTGTAGGAGTTGCCATGTAAAGAATTATGAGAGTTCATGTACAAATACAGATCACCTCTTCTGAAACATGATTAACCCACCATCCTCATACCCCAGGCTATGCCCTCAAGTCAAATAACCTTTTCTTTAAGTGACCTGCCTGACTAACCCTATGAAATGAGTCATAATCTCTACCACAAGTCATGCTGTACACCATGTATCTTCATGTCTTTGTAACTCTTCTTGTGTTGTTTCTTTGTATTAGAATCCTGTTTTGTTAGGCTCTTTTCTCCTCTGAAGGTTGGGCCAAAAGGTTGGGTCGAATGGAGACACAGGGAGTTGGAAAAAGAGGTGAGGCAACTGTCATGTTGTCTATTGGCTGAGTTTAGTGGGAGCTCACAGAGCTCTTAGTAGGCTCACAAAGCCCATAGCAGCATTCCCAGGCACTTCCTCCCTCTTAGAGCTAGCAATGCACATGGAGAATGCTCACAGAGCATCCTCCTCCCTCTTGGAGCTCACAGCATGCAGAGCTGAGCTGAGCCAAGGCCAAGCCAAACCAAGGCCATCAGGGCTCACCAGCCTGAACCAAGGCTGAGCAGAGTGGGGCTTGTTAGCAGGGCTACACAAGGAAGAGCAGGCAGAGCAGGGTAGTGCAGCACAGGACAGATGACCAAGTGCCCCCTTTCTCTAAAAGAGCTACATACAATAGTGGCTCATTGCCAAAACCAAACTGTCACACACACACACACACACACACACACACGCACATTACATTCAGTGGCGTAAAACAACAAAGTCATAATTACATAATAAGCATGCAAGTGCAGTGCAACTAATAACATAAGTTTTTTTTACCCTGTGGCCTTTGAACATGAAGAGACAGGAGGTGAGGGAGCCAGACTAAACCATTCCGACTCTATTTGCAATACAACTTCCCTTCTGTATGTGATAAAATCCTTATTTTTAAGCCCAGATAAAGGGGTTCACCAATTCTGTGAAGTCCTTCCAATAAAATTAATCACCCTTTGCTCACTGATCCCATGCTGTTTTACTTATATTTATAAGCCCTTTCCAGACTGTGAAAGGCAGTTATATAAATACATACACATACACGTACATGCACACACACATATATATAATATTCTCCTGGCTGGATTGGGGAAACCTCAAAAATAGTTCTGTTTTGTTCAGTCTTATACCCTCTTCCACTTTACCATCATGTTTCACCTACTGTATAAATTCCATGAGCCTTGAATAAAGAAAATTCAATTACAATTAGAAGCTTTTTGTTTGCTCCATTAATGTATTTTCATGACACTTTGTGAAAATAAGGACTTATTAGCTTATGTACCAAGGGTCAATGAAATTACTGTTTTATATGAGCTATGAGCAAATGTAGGTTTCTAAAATCTCTTTAGTAAGACTGTATTTATTGTATATAGCTGGTCATGAGAGTTGGTTCTATCTGGTTCCCAAGTGTATCATGCACAAAGGTATATAAATATATCACCCCTTCCTTTATAGCCTTATTCATATGATCAAATAATAACTAGTATTTTGAAAAACACTGTCACAATACAAATTTTTTAGGTGCTAATTACTTTATTAATCAGTTCTAGATCTCCTTTGTCTACCGTTTCAAATCTCATGGTTTCATAGCAACTCCCCATTTTAAACCATTTCTCATTACACTCTATCTTTGAGATTTTATTTCCACATCTTTCACACATAAAGTGGAAAACCCTGGACCCCTAAGAACTGAAATCTAGGAGGAAAAGAACATAGCATGTCTATAGTAATTAGGAGATGCTTGCTAGGTAAATACAGACCTTGTTTTAGAGAAGGAATGCCCAACATGAACGCAAGAAGAAAGAATTTCCTACTCTCTTCTGTAGAAGTGTGAATGAAGGAGCACAGTTGCCACGGAGGCTAAATCTCAGAAAGGATAACCAGATTCTTTTAGGAGCTGCTTCTGGCTTTTGCCAAGACCATCTGCTGACAGCCCAAAACCCTAGGCAGCTGGCTGCGATGCCTGTTAATCTGTGAAAAACTATTCCCATTTCATTGTCTCCATTTCTTCTCTGCCCATCAGAATTGAACCAGAAGCAGGGGTGGGCAGGGAAACAGAAAAATCCCCTTGAAAGTCAAAAATAAGTCTGATCCTGAGCTAAACTCTGGGCATCTCTGAGGAACCTCATTCCTTTCTAAGGCCTTCCAAGTGGGATGAAGGGACTCTGACAAGAACCAGTTTGTAGAGCATCCACATCCTAAAAAGGAATGCCAAAAATTTCAGACTCAGATTCAAATCTTTGTTTATAATATTTTTTCCATGTGATCCAATTTCCTCTTAATTAAACCAGAGAGATTTTTCTCTCTACATTATAGGCTGTGAGTTAAAGTAATCAGATGCTGCTGAACTCTGAGAACATATCTGATAGATTCTAGATACAGTACTAAATCATTTCCTAAATTATTTTAATTCTAGGAGGTAAATAACCTACGTGATGAAAAATTGACATCAACTTTTTTTTTTCTCCAAAATAAGTACGTCTCACCATCAAATGTCATGCCTTTCTTTTAGGCTCTTAGACAGCAGTTTTCAATTAGTGTAGTTAACTGCATGTTAAGATTGGAGGAAATGATAGAGGTGCAGAATGGAAAAGGGATTGTGGCATGGCCATTCCCCTGGGGTGGGGGGGTGATTTCTCACTTCCCCTCTCACTGTTGCTCTGTCTCTCTCTAGCAAACATGCACCTTGTGGTACCCTTAAAAAAAAAAAAAAAGTCTATAGGGCTGTTCTATTAAAATACTGATCTCTTAAATTTTACTTTACAAAGTTTTTCAGTGCTAAGCCCTGGGCATTTTTATCTCACTTAATATACTGCATAAATTGTTCTTTTTTTCATCCACACAGCCTATACTTTCAGTCCCTTTTAAATAATATTTGAAACTTTGTTCTGAGGGTTGAAAAGTGTCTCTGCCGGCATTAACCTAATGGCTTATTAGAAAAGGTTGTGTTATTAGAAACAAAAGGAAGAGGTAGTATGCTTCTAATAGCATTAATTTATTTTGTCATAAATAGTCTTTTTAAACAAAGTAATTGAAAAGATTTGATTCAATAATTTCTAAAATTCAATGTGTGTGCAGGTCTTTTCATTTTACTTTAAAAAAATTAAACCATGTCTTGACTACCATCTTATATCTTAGTATGACTTGACTATACAATAACTCAAACCTTGCACTAAAAGAGAATTAACCTCTATCAGGATCTTAGTCTCCTTCCTTATCTAGGCTTTAATTTTCTTATCTGGAAAATGACAGATTGGACCATCTTCTATGGCCTATTTCTGAAAGGGTTGAAAGAAAAAGGAAAAGGGGAATAAAACATCTTTGATATAAGAGCAAAAAGAAGCATAGGCACTGAATCAGATAGATCTGGGTTTGAATCTCAGATATTATTTGCTATAGAAAGTTGGATTTCATTTTATTCAGCCATAATGTGGGACTATGCTCTGTTCTGAGGGCTGCTGAGATTTAAACGAGAACAAGTCTATAATATTTCTAGCACAATTTGTACACGTATTGTATGCTCCTATAATTGGTAGGACCTTATTTTAAGGCCAAGAAAAACATAAGGCTGAGCACATGATTCGATCCAGTAATTTCTACTCTGGCACTTGGAGAAGAAAGGGAGTGAGCACATCACTGTCCTTTAGCAGCAGAGACGTCCCTCTGCTGTGATGAAACTGGAGCTCTCAGAGTTTAAAAAAAGAACACCATCAGGGCAAAGGCACCACATCTTGGCAAGAAATGCTTCACATAGTTTCCATCGTCACCATGCTCTCCTTCTCATCCCACACCCTGCTTCTATTTAAGTCCCAGCCACTCCACTGCACCACACTCATTTCAGCCAGTGCCCAGGCTATCAGAAAAGAAGAGTTGGTTAGCATGTCTCCAGGAGAAAAGGAAAGGGAGGATGGGCCAGCCAAGAGTGCCCTCCGGAAGATACGCACAGCCACTCTGGTCATCAACTTGGCCCGAGGCTGGCAACAGTGGGCAAATGAGAACAGCACCAAGCAAGCCCAGGAGCCCTCAGGCTGGCTGCCCGGAGGGACTAAAGACCCACCACAAGCTCCTAAACCAGTGACATACCTCACTCCTCACCAGAAAGCTCAGAGTGCCCCAAAGTCTCTGTCCCAAAAGCCAGAGGGACTTAGAGATGGGCAAAACTCAGAAGAAGCCACTGAGATTTCCCATATCAAAAGGAAAGAGGTAGCTAAAACTGTTGTTAGCAAGGGTTATGAGAGAGGAGGGGACGTGAGCCACCTCAGCCACCGGTACGAGAAGGATGGTGGCATACCTGAACCTGGGCAGATGGAGAACAACATTGACAAGATCCTCCACAGCCACAGCTCCCCAACGCGGAGAAGAAAATGTGCCAACCTGGTGTCTGAGCTGACGAAAGGCTGGAAGGTGATGGAACAGGAGGAGCCCACGTGGAGGAGTGACAGCATAGACACAGAGGACAGTGGTTATGGAGGAGAGACTGAGGAGAGGCCTGAGCAAGATGGAGTCCAGGTGGCCGCTGCCAGGATCAAACGTCCCTTGCCCTCCCAGTAAGTGAATGCATCCTTCCACTCCTATACCAAGATCACTATTGAGTCCCAAACAACTACAGGACTCCAGAGAGCATAGGAAGGACTACCACAGTTACCACGAGAATGTCAGATTGGGCAGGCAGCAAGTCCAACAGGGAACGGTGTTCTGGGCTGATAGGGCAGTGTCAACCTCAGACGTGGACCTTGAGACCAGAACCTGCACAGTTTTGTTTCTTCTTTCTGTTTTGAACTGAACACCTGTTTTAGCCTTAAGAAAAATGTAGCTATCACAGAGATTTTTTTTTTTAGTTTATTTCTTCCATGAGAGAGGGAGATAGAGAAGGAAGGAAGCAGTAAAACAAGCACCCCCTACAGGGTCTATGATAATACCCCCATTCTCTGCTATCCCTGAATCACAGGCATGTGTGTTCACCTAGAGTGTTCAGGGAGGTTTTGGAACACAAACCCAGGACCTTCGCATTGTGGGTATATTTGTGTTACTGCTGCTGTATGTCCTGGACTGAAGAGTATCTGTCTTGGGGGAATTATTTAAGTCAATTCTATAATAAGCAACAAGTGGGCTTATTTTTCTAGGGAGAAGTGCTTTCCGGTAAACTGAAAAAAATCTTTCCCTTGTGTTAAATCAGTTTATAATATTGCCAGGATATACATCCTCTCAGATGGTGTGCATGGAACACAGATCTCTATGAGCCTAAACAGATGGATGGGGGTTAACCTACGAGCAGACTCTGGAGTGAGATAGCTCCAAGTTCAAATCCTAGCACTGCCCTTATCCAGTTGTTTTTGTTTGTGTGTGTTTTTCCCCCCTAAGTTGATCTCATTTGTAAAATGGCAGCAACAATTAGCTTTGGGGTAAGTTCTAGTGTATCAGGAAAAGCAAATGAGATTAAAACTGCCAGCCTCGTGTCTGCCATATACAAAAACCATTATTTATATAGATTGTATTACTTAGCAAATTCACAAACTTTAAAAAAATGGTATCCTGTTCATAAATACAGATAATTAAAATATCACAATCGCAAAACATTTAGATGTTAAATACACACATATATAAACTGACTTAAACTAACACATTCACTTAGACAAGAAACACATGCTTTTATTTCAAGGTAGTAATTCTACATAATAGAAATTCAGAATATCTCACTCCACAACCTCAGGGTATCAAAATATGGAGAAAGGCTCTGATGTCAAAATGCTATAAACCACAAATAAGTGCACAGGTGTGCTTTTCAAGTCTTATGAATCATTAAGAAAGTAAGGAACAAAATTGGTTACCTAATTTGACAAAAGATTTTAGAGGTTTTTTGAAAAAATTAGAACTATGTGGCAAACTTTCAAGAAAAATGAAATGGTAATTAGGTAATTAAAATACTGTCATGCATTTCATGTGTGGTATGGGTATTTAAAATGATTTATCTATTTAATTCTCACAATCCTATGAAGCAGGAATTAATCCATTTTATTTACTTATTTATTTATCATCATAATCTTGTTTATATTACATTGAATCCCATATAATTTTACAGTGTATTACATTTCTTTTTAGGGCTGAGAACTCTGAAGCTCAGAAGGGAAGTTTACCCAGCAAGTTAGTGACAATGATGGGACAAGCCTGACTGCAAATGCAATGTTTTAAAACTAGACATGAGACTAATTCTCACTCAGTCCCATGAGGACATGTTCAGAGATCAGGATTTGTGCTTTAGCTACATTGTTATAGAAATTCATGATCAAAAGTTCAGGATTTGTGCTTTAGCTACATTGTTATAGGAATTCATGATCAAAAGTAACTATTCTAACAGAACATAAGGAGCCATTATTCAAATTCTGGCCTTATAGATTTGTGTGTGTGTGTATCGGGGGGAGGGGTGGGTTTACACATGCACACACACGTGAGCATGGGTGCTGGAAACCGTATAATACAGTCCAGCAGGACTGAGGGTACACAATGAAGATCAGTCAGCACCTTTTATATTGGCCAGAAGTAGAGATGACAGCTGGGACCAATCCCAAATGTGCGCTAGAGCTGGACTTTTGGGCACTTGTCTAAGCACTTTCACGTATTTATTCATTTAACCCCCACAACGTTCTCATGGGGTAGGTTTAATTATCACCCTGTTTAGTAGATGGGGACATGATATAAAAAAAATGAGGGAACTTACATGAGATCTCATAGCCCATGGTACTTGGACATGTCATTCGGTCTCTGGAGCCCTCTCTCATGGCCACAACTCTAAACTGTCTCAATTAAAAGTGGGACTGGCCCACAGGACCTTTCTCAGGATTTCTGAATGAAGCATGTACATGGTCACCATAAGTACATAAGCGTTCAGAAGAGGTAATCAGATTTGAACCATGGTTGTTTTGGCAATCCTGAGTCTCAGTGTCCTCATCTAAAACACAGATGTGATCATTCACATTTCATGAATTATCTTTATATTATGTAAAGCAGTGGACCCAGGGGAGCTCCTTAGTAAGATGCACCCATTATAATGCAGGGGGTCCTGCATGGTGATTCTTACCCTCCAAGATGCTAGGAGCTTGGCTCTCTGGGTTTGGGGGTAAAGGGTAGTTAAATCTTTCCTTCACTTTGGTTCCTTTCCCTCAGTCTTAAAGTACACAGGGTACCAGAATGTTGTATGCAGCAATAGCAGCTCTTAATGTCATCTGTAATCCTAGCTGTGATCAGGAGACTTCAGCAGAAACCTAATGGGACTTTTTTTGCCTGATGGGACTCTCAAATATTGCTTGAGAAATCAAAGTGGTATTATAGGGTAAACCAATATGAAAGGGCTTTTTGTTCGCTTATTTTTAATTAAAGTCACTATTGCTTCCCTGTATCTTCCAATAAGGGGAAAGTTATGTATCATGCATGTTTAAGTGTATCTTCCAATAAGGGGAAAGTTATGTATCTTGCTTGGAAAGAAAGTTTCCTGGTGGATAAGATGTTCCATGGATAACAGAAACAAAGCAAATCAAATTTGGTAAGAATTTGAAAAATTTCTTACCAATGGTGGTTTTGCTAACTGGGGTTTTACTTTATGAAAAGGGTTTATATTTTATGCCTTATTTCAAAAATAGTCTTTCAACTGAATGTGATTTGTTTTACCCAGTTCCTTTAAACAAAGCAATTTAGATCCCTTTCCAATAGTGTAAGTGTGCAAGATTAAAATGCCAATTACTTATCCTCTCCTCCAAGTTGTATTTAGTAAAAAATAGTAGCTGTTGAGCACGGGACTACCATTTTATAAATAAGAAAACTGACACATGGAGACATCAAGAAATATAGCCATTCCTCACTTAATGGCCTACTTGTTTGCTCAGATGTAAGACCAGTTCTCCAACAAAGCTAATCCCTTTTCTCAATCTGAGTGTTTTGGGAAACTCCTCTCAGTCTTTGTCTTCTTCTTGTAGTCAGTTAGTATTCACTACATGAAGCATACACAGCCATGCAAAATTACATATTTTGTTTATAAATTTGTACTTTATTGTGTGCCCACAGTAGAATTCAGATTAAGAAAGAACAATTATAGTGGATTTATACCATAGTGTTGTGTGTCTTGCTTTCTGTCAGTTATCTAATATATGCTTTTTGTACGGATAGAGTTACACTATTCTAGTGTGGTGTTGCTTGTTATCTGTTGACAAATACATATGCTTTGGTGCCATGACTCACTGCAAAGTAGCTGCCTTTAGGCTCCTCACTTATTGACCAAGTCATACAAATGGACTTTGGTCATTAAGCAAGGAGTGCCTGTATATGCAAGTCACAGAACTAGTAAATGGTGAAGCTGGGAAGGCTGATGCCAGAGCATGTGTTCTTAACCACTTTGCTAAAGCAACTGACTCAAACAGATTCAAGGAATAAAGTGAATATTGAAGCTGTTGGCTTAACTAATGGAATCCCAATAGCTTCTAAAGTTTACGGTTCTGACACAACCATATCAATGAACTTTACAAGAAACAGAAACTATCTACCCTCAATTCTAAACCTGGGAGCCTATCCCATAAACTCTGAGTTAATTGCAATCTGCAAGGAGAATTACAGGCCTGACTCTCAAACTAGTTAATAACAGAAGAGAGAGTATAATATTCACCAGAGGTGTTCATAATGCCTCATTCTACTTCTGAAAAATGCAACACCATAGATGCCATGCTCCTGTTAATCGAATTGGTTACAATTACTGTGTGAAAGAGCAAATAACCAACACAGAGTTATCCTCAGAACTTCTCTGAGAAGTTGGGAAATTCTTCACTGATAGAGAAGGGTGCCTGGACAATGGGGAGAAATGCTCCCTCTACAGGAACATCTATGGGGCAAGCAATGAGAAATGATCTCTACTTTCTTCCTATAGACCTAAGACCCTGACCAGAAAATCTCACCTTAGGGCCCCATGACATTTTGAGGCTGGTGATTCACCAAAGGGCACATACCAAAGAAAGTTTTCAGTGCCAATGAACTTGGTTAGGTTTGGAATATACTTTTGGAACTTTTGTTTCCTGTAGGTTTTATGACATATTTAATAATTTACCTACATAATTATTACTCCACAATTACAATTATGATAAAGTCAGTTCTCATATTCTTGTTGAACTACTAAATAGTCCCATTTATTTAAGAAAGCAGAACTCAAATTCATCATTTTTAGAGATGACAGATAAGAAATATGTTCAGAATTTATTTCAGTGAATAAAACTAGATTTTCCAAGATAGGCTGTTCCTGTATCTAGCAGATTGTTTCTATGCCTTGCACGTGTAAGGACAGGGGATATATTTTTGATTAACTATAAAAATTTTACTAATAATAAAGAAGCTGAGGTGGACTTAGATTTGATACTGCTATTCTAAAATATGAGTAAAATGTCTCTGAATATTGCTTTGTTTTTTCCAATTTATACTAAATCATCTTCCTAAAGCTCAATCTAAAATATAATTTACATTTTTACCTGAAAATTAAAAATATGATAATCTGGTATTGATTCTCATATTCCTT